AGATAGTGTTTCGTCCATATTTTACTAAAATTAAAGTATATATATATATATATACTATCTTAGGTTGCTTGCATAGCAAAGTTAAATTAATTTATGTACTGCGTACCTTTTTACTATAAAATCATACTCAATAAAAATTATCATAACAAACAAGTAAACAATTATTTGAGTGTTAATTACTATGGTAGGTAACCTTATAATCTTATGATGATTGACCTCCTATTAATATATTATTTGGAACCGGTTAATACATCAACACACACACTAATTATCCTTTTATTTTGACACAAGATCTATTTAATTCATGTTGCACTCGACCGGTGAAATATAATCCATAAAAAACGTAAATAGTACTGACTGTATTCTTTTTGCAACTAATATAAGCCTATTTAAAATGGCAGCTTTAGCTCCGTTTTCCGATTAATAACTGCTACAGATAGAGGCAATGCTAATGCTTTACATTCAAGCCGTGTCTTACGCAGGTCTATTTGTTTAACGCACTGAGATTCTTTAATGAGTTCTTTTTTTTTTTTTAGCTTTTTCAACTAACATGAACACGGCAGGTTTTATCTTCTTCGTCGATCTTCAGGCTTTTTCCGCCACTCGCAAGGTTAGGCATTCGTCGCATTTTCTACCAGTGATTCGATAATGTCGTCACTTCCTTCTATAGTGGAGAAAACTGAAGTATTTTAGCTTCAAATCCTGTTTGCCAATCCCTGTCACTGTCGTCTCCGTTAGTGATGTATAATCGAATTAGTTGCGAGCTTAGTCGCATTGCTTCTGCAACAATGGAACTATTATGGATGGAGTAGCATCGACTGTGTCCATAGTATAGTTCTGAGCTAGACTTTGGCTATCGTAAACCTGCCTTGTTATCGTCTCCTGGTTGGGACAGTATTGTGCTCACCAACTGCTACGGTTATCCGACTTTCATCGGCTTCTTTTTCTAAACGCTTGAATAGATCGAGAAGCCGTGTAGTTGAAATAACTGTATCCGCTAAGGCACCTCGCGTTCGAATTATGAAATCAAGGCCGGTTGAAATGATGCAATCTGATACAATCTGAATAATATCAGACAAATGGGTTGCTCTATTCATTGTAGTGTATGCCCGACCTAATGGTCACAGCTGAGTGGGGATTATTGTAGATTCGGCAGTTTTGACAAGCATGGCACGAGACAACGATTATAAGAAGAACTCCCTTACAGTTGTATTACTGTATGTTTAACTTTGTTCACAAGAAATAGGCTTAGGCTGATTATTATAAAACGAACCCTGCCGTAAACATATGCGCTGATATTATCTAGTTAGCTAGCTTAAAGCCGGAGTGGATGCACATACCTGCGACAACGTTGTAGAAGCTTTAAATCAGTCTCAGTTAGATAACGACCGATTACAGATCTTTGTTTTTACATTACATTGTTTGTCTATTTGTCGATTTTTTATAGACCTTTTTTCATGTTTACTGTCGCGTTTAGCGTGTACGAATTATTACTGAGCATAATTCATATCAATCTATATTTAATAATAATCAATTTAGTTCGGAACACTGATTTTACACGCATTTTCATCGATGTCTTAATATGATATAATCTACGGTTCGCAATCGTTAACTTGCTGGCCCTCAACGTTCCTGGAATTACTTTTTTGTCCGTCGTCAATTCTGGTATTTTATTTATCAATACAATGTACAGTTCACCCATGAATGAAGCAGATCTTCCGTTAAGCATTTCGTTCCTCATTGTATAGAAGATACTGGCACCAATTGCACTTGACGTTTATCAACCTTGTCTGTTTAAGAGAGTGATCGCCAGGCCTAATCAGGTACCATATCTAAATGATTCGAACTTTACGTCCAGTGTTGGCATCAAATATTGCCTCATCCATATAGCTCGCCTCCAGCACAAAACTGCGTCTACGTAGGGTTTCAAACCCAGATCACGACGTATCTTTAAATTTTAATCACAGATGATTATTGTTGAATTGAACATAAATATTTATCTCTATAGCTATAGCACCGAAGAAATCGGAACTTCAGTTTAACTTCAGTCATCCGCAGAACATCTCCATAGCTCTATGTTATCATTGTGATTTCGTAAGAAGGATAAAATGAGACTAGAAAACATTAGGAGTTAGCCGGCGTAACCGCCGTTCTCGAAATGATGAGATGCGATTTACCATGAGCAGTTGCATTTGTTGAATACATGATGCTGTTTATATCCTAGTATATAACACTTGACAAGAAGCTGTTAGTGATGTCACAAACAAAATTGGCAAAAATAGCAAAAGAAAAGCGGACCCATAACGATAAGTAATGAACCGTCGACATCACGAATCTGTGTTGGGATGCGTCATTTTTCTCTACTAACTTGATTGTCACAGTCTATGCTTTACTGTTGGGTTTTCGAAAAAGTATTTATCGCTTTCGTAGCTAGATAGCTGTAAAACCACGTATTTCAGGCATTATGAGCCGCGATTATTTTATTTTATTTAGGCTGAGATTTAGCTGTGACATATGTGTTAAAGTTGTTCGAATACCTGGATTTACACTTATGATATAGCGTTTTGCAAATGAGTGAAATATATGCAAACATTACCTATATTTTACACCCAAAAGGGTTGTCCAAGCCCATAAAAAAAGATGTGTTATTCAAAAAATGTCCTGAGCATAATTCTGTCGTATTCGTTTTGGAAATTTTGAAGTGAGATATGTTCTTCGTAGTAGTCAATCAATTACGAAAGAAGTTGATGGAGTTGTTGCAAAAGTTGAGCAAGGCCAATACATGGCTATTATGACATGGCGGAGGAACTTGACGTCCATCATTGGATGAGAGTTTCAAGGCATGGGAAAAAGCTAGTCTTAAAAAAAAAAGCTCGATGTTTGCACGCCGTACGAATTGATGCAGAAGAGTTCACTCGATTTTACTTTAAACTGCGAAATTCTGCGGTAACGCAACAAGGTTGAGCCATTGCCGAGCTGATTAATCACTGATAATGATAAGTGGACTGTATATGATAATAATAGTCAAATAAAAGAAAAGGTGCTTTACAATCTGTAGCAAAGTTTAGACTGATGCCAAATGGATTGAAAGGGAACTGTGCAATATGAGTTGCTGCCGTTTAGCTAAATCATTGGCTCAGACCTATGCTGTCGACTTTTAAGAAGATAACAATAAGCCGTTGAAGAAAATCGACCAGAACTGTTAACCAGAAAGGGAGTCCTCTTCCACTATGACAACGCCAGGCCATACATTTTTAACTGAATGGGATACCTTGTTCCATCAGATTACTATCAGTTTCCGTCTCTGCAAAGCTTCCTTCTTGGTTTTAATTTAGTTTCAATAGAGAAGTGCAAAAAGCACTCGTTACAATTTTTCCTTCAGAAATTACACATGTTTCACCGTGGTGGGATAGTGGCGTTACCGGAAAAATAGCAGAACGTCGCTGATATTTAACTTAGTAACTTCTTCCGAAATATAAAAAATATTTGCAATTTCTGCTTAAAAACGGTCATTACGTTTCGAAATCTAATATAAAAAAGAACAGAGAGGTCGCTATCGTGGTGCTTCACAAGGCTGCTTCGAGACGTTTGCAACTAGTGGAGAAGAAAGAAGATAGAGCTCTTCGTAAACGCGTCGAAAATATCGATATTGTATATGTACGAATATGTATATTCTGTATTGTTTTTTTACCTATATACAGAACATCAACAGTTGATCTGTAGACGAACAAGAACAACGCTAGTCTTTGTTTCAATCGTTCTACATTCATTTCGACCATGTATAACTGTAACAATTGTTTTGTATATCAATATTTTTTTAACATGCTCTTATTTATTCGTGTACAGTCATATACGACATCCGTAATTACGTTGTACGCCGGGCATATAATCCGATCAAATGTAATTTCACATTGCCATACACCATCACATGACAATCTGCTTTGCTTCCGATTGATTTGCAGGCATACACTTATAATGAATAGATATATACAATGATGGAAACGAAATGTTCTATTATGAAGTAATGCTTAAATGTTTTATGGCATTGCTTTCAATTTTGCTAGGACGTTTTTGTTTTCATGATTCAAACGAGCCGCGGCTCATCTACGAAATCCGACTGTCGATGGTAATCAGGCTGGTGGCTTGTTGAATATTCAGTTCTTATTGTGACCAGGTACAATTCAATTTGACTCTCTCGAGAGTGTAGAGCTTTACGATTAAATAAGACCTAGTTTCGATAACGGTTTAATCAAACCATCACTGTTAAGGCTTGAACGATTGTGTTTTTCCTACTTTCGATAGTACTGATATAGTAGTATAGTATTCCTAGTTTCGATGATACTGATATAACGGCACGGAACTTCAGTGTTGAACATCACTAAGTTCACGTCTAATAACTACATATAAGTAATAATAATGTCACCTAATTGGACGCCGCACCAATTTCGGTATCCAAATTTCTTTACTTGTCAAACGTGTTCTCACTTCTATTACCAACAAATACCGTCGCTTTTCGCGGAGTATGCGCTTTATCGGTTGTGATTAGAAGGGGTATGGTTGTTGTGGGCAACAGAAACAGAGAAGCTACGCACGACGAACGAATGACTTCTATACATCGCTGAATAGCGTACTCCGATACTGAAAAATAAAAAGCTTGAGTTCATAAAAAAAATGTGCAGCTCGAGTGCGTTATTCAATATTTTTGGCCGGTTTGAGCGCTGTTCTGGCTACAGTAACCTCGCAACACCTACGCATACATCGTCACTGCCCAGTATGACCCTTTATTCAAGCTAATATCTACTTTCAGACATATTTAATCTAGCCAATTCAATAAATCTGGACGGAAATCAGCTGGTTTCTCTTACATAAATCAAAAATATAGAGATGCTCGATCATCAAGTCGAGTAATTGATAAGAGATTATCTGATTATGAGGTCCGATTATCTTTTTCGAGTACCTTTGATGTTCGTGTAGATTTTCGCTAGCTTACACCCTTCGAGTGAGACAAACATTTTTCTTGCTTCAATTTAATCAAATGATTCGACGCCGCTTCACATCCACCCTCCACCGCCACCGGCCTCATGTCTGCCCCCTCCTCCACCTCCTTTGCCACCTCCAAGTTTCATAAGGATTTTTTTAAAACCTCCGCCTCTTCCGGTGCCACCACCGCCGTCATTCATCTGAAATGTATTGGAAGGCGAAGATTGCAAAAATAATTACTATAGAAGGAACGCAGCTATAATACTTATATGAATATCGATCGATATCTACGAATAAAAAAGAGGTAAATGGACAAGAAACGCAAAGATGACAGTAATATATATATATATATATATATATATATATATATACATATATATAGTTTTTTTCTAAGTATTAGTAAATGCCACGGTTTGTCTCTATCATTATCTTGACACAACGTGAGCTATCCTAGTCTATCAAAATATAATATGGGCAAAATAAGGTAGTGGGCTGTTTCAGTGTCACGGTTCACGGCCTACCTTCTTAATGATGTAGGTCTTTCCTTTTTTACTATGACGGTCGTTTCTTCCAGTGTGACCTCCACCGCTGCCAAGCTTTTTGATAAGATAAGACTTACTCTCAGCTCCTCCACCTAAAAACAGAGCAAAAGAAAATTGAAGCTAAATTGATAACAAAAACTGCGACTATACATCGATATCGAAAAGCTATTACAATTAGTTTTAATTATAACAGACTCAAATTACATTCAATCATAAAGCTATAAATAGTGTCAAAGCCTGTTTAACCATATGCTGAAACAAGCAAAGAAATTAAAAGCTTAATATACATCGCAAGTTCGTAAAAATCATGTTTTTGCAGAGGAGAATCTTTACGTTAGAACGGGCATAAATATAAAAGTTAACATCGTGTGCGAAACACGACAGGATTAAGTTGAATAAGCTATTGTTGAAAACACGATTTTGGTTAAAAAGGCACATCCACCTATTCCTAATATTAAATTTCACAGTTATTTTATCATCCGTCTGCTTGCCCGCCCAAACCGCCACTTCTCCACTACAAATTGGCTGAACTGCCCCTTTACTAATTGGCAGCGCTAATCAGGTTAAAGTTGCCTGTCAGAACTAAGAAGCTTATAAGGGATGCCTCTGATTTTACCTGACCAACCGTCTTGTCCACTGCCCCCAACGCCATGTCCACCGCCGCCACTGGTGTCTTTAGCCACAATAACGAAAGTTTTGCTATGACCCCCACCGAAAGATCCAATCGCGAAGGTCATTAAGATCACGACTAGTGGTAACTGCAAAAAAAAAGAGCAGATTAGAACATAATCAGTGCGCGAGCAACTCAACAATCACTCAAATTATGTAACAATTGTTTGTATATTCGCGCACTCAGCTAAACACACACAGTTGCTGCAGAGATAACGGGGTTTGTTGTTTGTCATCTTCAGGTTTTTGTGTTAAATTAGCACTGGAGAAATGAACTATACCAAGTGAATTTATCGGTCAATATTATAGCTAGTTGCCTATCTGTAGCAAAATGGCGATCGTATTTTAATAGATGGCTAAGTATATCCTTTGCGTTATAATGACCACGATGAAGTTTTGGCGTACAATCATCAGTGTATCTCAATGAGATATTGATCTAAGATTAGCCAACGTAGCCCTGTGAGTGCTAGAAATCTATCCCAGTCATATACTGTGCTCTATCTGAGTGGTGGAGATTTTTGCTCCTAAAGTAGACGTTGCTAAAACCACTTTTGGTGGTTCGTCCATGCGAAAACCATCCCCAAGAGCCTATCATAAGGACTAACTAACCAGGACTCGCATGCTGGCTGACCGGCCACTGATCGGCAAGTATCGTGCTGACAGCGCTGGTTTTAAAGGGGCGCCCGACGGACCTCAGTCAAAAAAGAAGAAAGGGTGAGATGCCTGCTAACCACCCGTTGAAGAAGCGACCGACAAAGAAATTTTCGGGGGCAAGCACCGCACGCAACAGTCCCCACCGTCACTGATACGGGTTCGACAAATTCCTAGGCATTAACCGCCACGTATCGCAGCCCTCCACTTACGCACCAAGCAGTATACAATCCAAGAATACCCGCGATAAACGCAGTAGCTGTAGATCCCTGTAGATGATTCCCGATTCAGCGCTACGACATCAACTGCTGCCTAGAAGAGTGGAAAGAAGCAGAGAGCAAAGGTACTCTTAGCTATCTTAATTTCCAACGAGAGTAAACGTTAAGTCTGCATAGGTTATTTTAGATATCCTCTTAGTTTTGCTCAGCTTTAGCTTTTCTCTCCATCTCAACCATCTCTTTTTCCACTGTAGTCATCCAGATGCTAGTGAAGATCTTGATGCGAGGAACAAATCGCAGCTCGTTTATTGTTCGCCGGGATAAAACTTTTTCGCGGGCACGGACGCCAGCATCGACGGGAGTCCTTTTCAAACGCGCAGAATTCCATGCACCAGAAGTGCAGTTTTCGCTCACTTTCTTCCCACTTCGAACAAACCTAGTGATGTCACTAAGCCGTTATACCGTCCATTAAGCTTTTATCGGGTGACAAACGCTGAGCGTTGCTACGCTGCCATCAGCCTTTAACGTAGAGGGCAACTTAGCTTGGCAACGAAGCTAAGATATAAAGCACCGGACGTTGAATTAGTTACTATCTCACATGGACAATCCCGTTCACGATGGATACTACGCTGTTTCTCTGGAAAGGCTCTATAAACAAACACATGTATATGCGCTCAAGTGCATTGATTCAATCTTTAGACCTTAATTCTAGGTCTAAAGGTTGAGCTTAAGGTTAAGTATAAGGTTTAAAAAACCTACTGCGCAGCACTACAAACAGATCAATCCTTTTTGTTCCGCAGAGCCCTTTTTTATGAGGTATAATGAATTGTACAGCCTACATGGGTAACAGAACGCGTCCCCGTGATAGCTTATTAAGTAACTATTCGCGTGCTGATCTTAGGAACACGCTGTGATCTATGTTTGAACTCGGCCATATATAGACTTCGTTTCGTGGTGGGATGTAGTCGCCTCATGGGGTGTGCAACGGTAATACCGGACGTAAAACTCGAAACAAACAGGTAACAGAACATAATGGTGTCACTGCTTGCTGGGGATGCATATGAAAGGAGATCGTTCTAGCAGTTAGTGGTCACACTAGCTGTATAGAAAAACAGACGGTCAAAGTTTTCTCATAAAAAAGCTCTCGCCGACTGCATTAACAAGTTAGAGAGACATTTTCACGTACATCATATTTCGATTGCTACTTTGAAATGAAGACTCATTTATCGTAAAGACAGACCAATGCTAATGCAGTAGCTTGTCATCTCTCACTATAATCTACTATCGAGCCTTAGTAAGTTCATCCTCGTCAAGTTTAGGTTTTTCACTAACTCCTGTAAATTGAGACACAAAAGTCTATGATGTATATGATTTATTTAAACGGCAGAAGACTCCAGGCAATAACGTCAGTTATCGTCAAGAGTACGCAATTCTTTACTTTTCCCCTTCTATCAACTTTCTTTACCTACTCAATTATGTATTCACTTTGTCTCATCTATATATTTTTAACCAGTACATTGGATATGGTACAGAAAATGCACAAACTTTATATAAATAGATAGGCCGCAAGCCAGCTTTATTTATTGAATCAATACGCCACATATTCACTAGCTAGGTCTTGCGTGTTGTCTGGTTCGATTCTGCCGCCAGAACAATCAATTGACCTAAGCTGCTATATTAGCCTATAGTACATTCAATTTTCTATTACGTCGCCATTTGTTTACAACAGCATTGTTGCTGCGAGAGAAACTGTTGTTGTTGTTGTTGATGTAGTTTTTTCGTTCTTGTGCAATGTACTCTTATGCCCTTCAGACCTAGCTACATATTTCTTTGATAATATGATAAGTGTAATCTTTTTGTTTCAGGTATAGGCCTTCGTAGTCTTATTTTTCGCCAAGCGCTGCTACTCGACGCTACCGAAAGCGATGTCCGTATCTGCGTGAAGGTCTCCCGATCGTTATCCGAGACTTAACGAGAGAATGCCATCAGCGTGCTAACGTATTGCTCAACTTAAGCGGCGTTTTGTTCATAAGATCAAGCAAGGGCTTGAAATTGTTATCTTCCATGCATCGTACCGGGACTGCAGGGCTCTTCTCATGCAATTAAATCAAAAAATGCTAATCGCACATACAACATTCAGCTAGTGAGTGTAGCTCGTTTTTTGCGTCACCCTAAGATCGAGAGAGATTTTCTACAACGCAAACAACTTCTGATGGAATGGTCAAGCGGTTTAGGTTTTTCAGCCATTAATGAAAAAACAAAGAGAAAGCGGGCTTTACTTGATATTGTTATTTTTCTGTTTATTTTTTGTTAATGCCAGTGAAGCTCCATAGAATATCGAGAAGAGACGTTGATGGCAGTAACCTGAATTTTATACGGTGACCTATTGCATATATACTCTGACAATTCTCTTGAAAGCAGGCAAACACTTATGTCATCGTAATGTTCTAATGAATTTTTAAAAATGTTCAACGGATCCCTATTCATTTGGTAAAACGAGCAGAGGTCAATAACGGAAGTCCCTCTTATACGTGTGCCGGTAGATGTTGTACGATAAATGGATAATCAAATGTTTGTATACATCCAGTGCCCTATAATCATCTACTCGATCGTTTCTTTCTTGAGTTCACTTAAGTGTAAAATCATTCGACTTTTGTTCTATTGTTTTAGCTGTTTCTACAGAGTTACAGGTTGCGATAAATCAGACGATCTAGTAACCATTTTATTAGACAAGTCAGAATCGTACATACATTGATAGTGTAAAAACACTGCTAACTACAAGTGTGAAATTTCCCTGAATTTTTCTTCCAAGGGAAAACCTATCTCACACTTATCTAAACGAGCGGAGGCTTCTCGAATTTGTTTCGGTTCACTAGTCTCCGTTGAACCTAATAGATACGATTGTTCTTATACTTATCACAATTTCTACCAACTAAATTGTTAGCTAACTTTATGTTGTGGCCGGACTTTTATTGGCCGACAACGGACTAGAATATTTGAAATACATTTGAATGAAACATTATGCGCTTGCGGCTATTTTTAAACGAAACGGAGATTTCACTATTATCATCACTTCCTTTTTTTCTTTATCGCAACTAACTACCATCATTAACAAAGGCACTTTTTGCCCGAAACCTAGTTAAGGAATACTCGTTCTGATTTTTCTAGCCGCTGAACTAGTTAAATACGTTTGTTCTATCTAATTATGCCGGTTGTCTGGCTTATGCTGAACGAAACAATGATCTTTCAGTAATGGATTAACGCCGGAACGCGTGTCCGTCTTATCTGCCTATAATGACGATAACCACATTGAACTTGAATTAACGGAGCGTCACTCCTATAAAAATGGAAATCATATAGATAGCTATATCATCCTTTATTATTTACAGCCAGATTTAAAACATTTTTTTTCTAATTAGATAGATTATATGCCTTGTTAGAAGTGATTGTTGAGTAAAGCGCTGTATAAAAATGTCTGACCCCCCCGCAATAATGGACGAGTTTACAGTGTCCATTATTGCGGGGGGTGAAAAATGAATCCTTGTGAAAGCGCACCTGTCAAATTTCTATGCACTGTTATGAAAAACTCGTTCAGAACAAGGGGATACATTGCCAGTTCAGCTCAGCCAGATGCTCAGAGCAGGTCCGATACGGAATAGGACGCCAGATGGAACGGCCATTGAAGTGTTTTCAGCCACCAAGACTAACATTCTCGTACCAGTCAAAGAAACAGACATGTTGAAACTGCAAGTAAAATAATCATGGCTACCAGACGCGAATTACAACTGCTACCAGCCAATAGCTAGATATGCACATATATGTAAGCTTGGCTATTTTCGTCTATTTGTTGCGCAGATCAATGGCAAACAAGTAAGCGATAGCTGAGAGGCTGAGATCCGGCTCTTCTTGTTTTACAAGGCTAAAATGATATAAGGGATTGCGCACTGGCTTCAGTTCTAGAAGCTGCAAATGTTGACTCTGCAAACGGCTACGCATATGATTGACCGTAACTCCGTATCGGCGGCATTCGCTCGCTTAATCGTGAGGCGCTCTGCTCACAGAGCCCCCTAGCGGAAGTTTCGATCCGAATTACGTTAAGTTGAGTTTATTATTGAAAGGAAAATGTACAGGTACACATGTTGTTGTTTTCGCTTAGGGCATCCCTGTGGTTGAGCAAGAAGAAATCATTCACTCTATTATTGAACGCATTACAGCCCATTACAAGCACTTATACGTGCTCATACTTATCCTGACGTGTTGCCCACGGCGGAAATCGTAATAACTTTTATGACGAATGTGAACTTTATGGTCCTTGCTTAAGTTGAATAGCTATAGTAACAGAGATAGTTGGTTTCGATCGGTTCCAGTATCTACTCGTTTCGGTTCGACTTAATTGTTGCACCTTAAAACGGCACAGCTTAAGCGAAAGTTTTATTAATAAAACTTTCGATTTCGAAAAAAAAATTTCATCAAGAAGCTACGTTCACGGAACGTTTTTGAAATGCGTTAAACCAACCGATGGCACAATATATACTACGCGTAAATTTTCTTTTCCTTACACACGTAGGAATCAATAGAATATATATAGGAGGAGACTGCGTCAATGTTTTTGTTTGTACCTTTTTTTCTATTATATTCGCCCGTATCTACCTAATCATGATGGTAAAGGATGCCAATTCATTTCATTAACACCGCATTTACCCACGCGCAATCGTCTCAAGTAAACAACGTACGTTCATTCCAAAAACAATGGGACACGATTAAACTATTACGCTATATAAACGCTATATATATATATATATATATATATATATATATATATATATATGTTTAATAATAATTCTTTTATTCGTTAGACAGTTTCCGTTAATGACGTCAACGAAATAACGTGGAACGATACGTCAATGAACAATTTCAGTCGGTTATTACGGAACATTTTTATTGAATGCACCACACGGCCGTGGTT